TGCCCCAGCTCCGGTGAGGGCGGCCCCGGGTGCCAGGTCGCGGCCTGCTGCTCGGCGGGGGTGTGGGGGGGGCTGCTGCGCGCGGGCGTCCACGGCCCGCCCGCCGCAAGGGGCTCAGAGAGAGGAGGGCGTGAAAACCACCTGTGGGCACCCCGCCGGGAGTCACGCCTCTGAGCGCTCTCGTAAAGGCACGCGGGCTGCGTGGCCTCGCGCCCTGTGTAAAGCTGAGAGCTTCGTGAGAGCTTGCCTTTGCCCTTGGATTCTCGGACCCTCGGACCCTCGGACCCTCGAGGGCGTCAGTCTCGGCAGCCTCGGGAACCCTGGACACGGGGGGCCACCCTCACCGGGCACTCTGCCTCAGCCGCGAGATCGCCGTGTCGGCGGGGAAGCTGGTCATCACTCCCCACCCGGCCGCGCCCGGAGAGCTGCCCCGTTGCTGCCCCTGGGTCTGCGGGGTCCGGGGTCCGGGGTTCCGGGGCAGGCAGCGGGATGGGCAGGCACGTGCGTCCTTGGTGGGTCTCCCCCGGGCAGGACGCCCCCTCCGGCAGCTGCGTGTGGACGGGCGCGTGTCGGGTCGAGGCCGGGGTCTGAGGGGCGGCGCCTCCGTGTGTCTGAACTCCAGGTGTGCTGTGGTCTGAAGCCATCTTCCTGGAGGCCCGGCCCCAGAGGAAGACCAAGAGCGTCGACGCCCTCAAGAAGTGTGAGCACGACCCCCACGTGCTGCTGGCCGTGGCCAAGTGAGTGGGGGCCCTGGGGCCGCTCGCCGAGCTCTGTGATGAGGCCTCGGGGGTGCAGGCTGCCCGGGCCCCTTGTCCCGGCCCCTTCTGACGGGACGGCCCCTCTGCCGGCCCCTGGGCCGCTGCCGCATGTGCGTGCCTGGGTCCCCAGGCCGAGGCAGACGGGCTGACCTCGGCCCACGTGGAAATTGACTTACGGGCCAGGCTCCCTGGGCTGGGAAGGGCAGTGAGCACAGAGACCGCAGTGAGCACGGTTTCCACGGTGTTGGGCGAGAAACCAGGCTCTCCTTGAGCGGGGCCTGGGGGCCACTGGGCCGGTTTTCGGGGGACCTGGGGCGTGGAGACCCATGCTGGAGGCCACCCCTTTTGGATCCCGTGGTTTCGGGGACACGAGGGGGTCAGCCAGCGACCTCACGGCATGAGTGGGTGTTGGCTGCTGGGCCAGGGGCTTCCTGGGGAGGCGTGTGGTGTGGCGGTGGGGCGGGAGCCCAGGCTTTGGGGAGATTTGAGGCTGTGGCCTGCGAGTGCAGGGCCTTGAGAGCTGACGACCCCTCCCTCTGGGGGGGGTGCTCCCGGGCTGCCGCTCTGGGCTCTCCCCTGGGGAGGTGGCCGGTGTGGCCCAGGAGCTCCCTCGGGCGGTGCAGCCTGAGAGCACCCAGGACGTGTGCCCCGACGGTTGTGGCCCCCGTTCCTCGGGTCCTGCCAGCACCTCCTCCCCACGGCTTTAGGGGCGAGGGCTTCCATAGGCCCCTGAGGCCCGCTTGGCCAGTGGGGGCCCCCTCCTCCCGCCCTGTGCTTCCGCCTCCCCTGTGAGCTGATAGAGCGGCCATAAAACCTCGTAAAAGGCTTTGCTAAAGTAAACAAGTCACTCCACGCTGTCCCAGGCTGGGGTCCCCAGCGCCTGCTATCTGGGTTTGTGTTCTGTAAGTCACAGTTTATCTAACACCAGGCAATTAAGAAAGCCGCAGGGCTTAAAAAACAATCAAGCTATCAGCGTGAAGTGAGTCCAGCCCGTAACAGACCTGCTGGCCAGCTGCCGGGAGTGCAGGGTGCTCCCCTCTGCTGGGAGCCTCTGGCGGAGGGGGTCGGGGGCTGGGTCCTCACCGCCCTGCGGAGGCTCCCGGGGGTCCTCGGTCTGCTCGCAGGCGGTCCTCCCGCGCGGCCGGGTGTCGGGCGTCCCTCCGCTGCGGCCCAGGTGCCTGCGGGCCCTGGCGGGGCGGGAGCAGGTGGACGCTCCGTCCCCGCTCCAGTCAGAGCCTCGGTGTGGGTTCCGTCAGGCTGGCCCCCAACCCCGTGGGCCGGGTCCAGGTGGGTGGGAGGGTGTGCGGGTTTTTAAGAGGCGGTCCGGTCAGACCCCAGGGCTCGAGGGGAGAGCAGAGCTGGGGCGCCGCAGCGGGGCCTGGGGCTCGCGCTGCACCTCTGCGTGGGGGCAGCGACTCACTCGGGGCGCCCGCCCGCCGCCCCGCAGGCTGTTCTGGAGCGAGCGGAAGATCACCAAGGCCAGGGAGTGGTTCCACCGCACCGTGAAGATCGACTCGGACCTGGGGGACGCCTGGGCGCTCTTCTACAAGTTCGAGCTGCAGCACGGCACGGAGGTCTGCACCCTGGGGGGGGGCGCGGGGGGCGGGGGCAGCCGACAGTTTCTGCCTCTGCGGCTGGTGTCTGGGGACAGGCCTGTGGTCTCTCAGCCTGAGGTGCAGGTGGGGGGCCGGGTGCAGTGGCCCGTCAGCGACGCCTCGTGAAGTGGCAGGCCCAGGGGCGTGGGGCCCCCGGGCCTGTCCTCCGGCCTCAGCGGGCCTGTCTTCCTGGGCCAGAGCCCAGCTCGATCTCCCAGGAAGCCCGGTCCTTGGCGGAGCTGGGCTCGCAGGCTTGGGTGGCCAGGCTGTCTTGGGGTCCCCACGACACGTGCACCCTGGGCTTCGTGTGAGGTGTGGACTCTGGGGCTCACCTCGGCTGCGCACGGCGTCAGGGCTGCTGTGGGGGTGCTCCCAGGAGGAGGGACCTGTCCCCTGCCAGGGGCCGGGGCGCACAGTGGGGCGGGTGGGAGGAAGGGCCTGGGAGGGGCCCTGTCTCAAGACCCCGCGGGCCCTCCCCCCCAGGAGCAGCGGGAGGAGGTGCGGCGGCGCTGCGAGAACGCCGAGCCGCGGCACGGGGAGCTGTGGTGCGCCGTGTCCAAGGACATCGCCAACTGGCAGAAGAAGATCGGGGAGGTGCTGGTGCTGGTGGCCGCCCACATCAAGAACGCCTTCTGACTGCGCGGCCCTGTGGGTGGGGGGCGGGGGGCCGAGGGCTGGGGGGGCCGGGGGGGGGCCCCTGAGCTGTCCGCCCCGCTCTGCTGTGTGATTAAAGGTTTTCTAGGCGTCCTGCGGGGCTGGTGCCCCCCTGGTTCTCTCTGGCTTCCCGAGACGCGGTGTGCGAGGCGGCCTCACAGAGGGAGCGGGGCTCTGCAGGGGTTTGGGAGGAGGCGGTGGGAAGTGCAGGTGCCCCGGTGACTCATCCGTCCCGTCCCGTCGCCCCCCCCCCCCAGACTGCAGGGTGACTCCCCTGAGTCTGGGCGCGAACAGCAGTCCAGGCCTCTGCGCCTCCTGAAGCCGGAGCCGGGGCACAGCCGGGCCTTCGGCTCGGGTCGGGGGTCGGGGGCTCCCTCCCTCACGCTTGCAGGCGGACTTGGCTTCCTGCTTCAGAGTCACCAGTTTTCCCGAAGTGCTCGCAGCTGTCCTCTGTGACCGGGAAGGGGTCCCGTCCCGGGGCACGCGGCAGGTGTTGGCTGAGGGCCCCAGGCTGCCCCCACGGCTCCCCCAGAGGAGACGGGAGGAGTCGCCTGGCTCACCGAGGGCGAGCTCCCAGGAGCCCGAGCCCCACGGAAGCCACGGCCTGGCAAGGGGCGGCAGTGGGCTGTGGCCGGCCTTCTGTGCCCCAAGGGGGGCACCGCTGACCTGGGCACCTCCTCTGGCTCTGGTGGCAGCCGAGGCCCCCTGTGGAGCCTTTGGAAAGTTCCGGAGCTTCGGGGTGATCCCTTCTGCGAACGTCTGGGGTGGTCTGTCCCAGGGACAAGGTGCTCCAGTGTCTCTCCCACTGTCATTCCTTCGCCTCCACTTTGGGCGAGGGGTTCCGGAGGCTGCGCCTGTCCTGTGGGCGGGGTGGGGCCGCAGCTGAGTGCCCGGCCAGCGGGAAGTCCCACGCCCGGGACCTGCCGAGGCAGGACCCCTGGAAGTCGGAGCAGGGGCCGGGCTGGCCTGGCGGGGGCCGCCAAGTGTCTCGCCGGGCTGTGGCCAGGTTCCGGCGGGAGACAGCACCCCTCTTGGAGGAAGGCCCTGGTGGAGGGGTGCGGGCAGGCCCCTCTTCCTTGGCTCCCCTCCCCCACCTTGCTGCGCGGCCCCGTGCCCACGGGCTCCCACCCCCTCCCGGACAGCACATGGCCCGTGTCCCGGGGCCAGTGGCTCAGTCCCGACCCACTGGATGGAAGGCCCAGCCAGCTGCCTGGGTCCAGGGTCAGGTTAGTTGAAGAAGCGATTGGATAGGGGTGGGGAGAGGGAGGGGGCAGGCTGGGACCAGGGGCCTCCCTCCCCGCTCCCGCCTTCCCCGGAGGAGCCGACTTCAAAAGCCTCGTCCGCCCGCTGCCAGCTGCCCGCTGCAGCCCGTCCAGGGAAGCCCTCGCTGGCGTTGGCTGGGCCTGGGGCCGGGCCTGGGGGGGGCTGCTGCACCTGAGGACCCCAGGGCCATGGGGAAGGCCCAGTGGCGGGAGTGAGGCAGGGCCTGACCCTGAGAGGCCCATGGTGAGCAGCGTCGGGCCCGGGGGTGGGAGGCAGCTCGGCCGGGAGGGGCTGCGTGTCCTGCCGTGCCCTACCGGCCGACGGGAAACCCCCGGGGTTGGGGTCCTGGGTGCTGGGCCTGGCCTTCCCGGCAGTGTTGGGGGCAGGGAGTCTGCTGGGCTGCCCTGTGTGTGCGTGTTGCAGGGACGGGGCAGGCGGGCCCCCCGGGCAACTGACCTGCCCACCCGGACGTCCCTCCGGCACCAGCTGGCTCTCCCGTCCCTACGCCCTCTGACCCGCAGTAGGCGGGGGCGAGACCCCGGGTGGGCCGTCACGGCTGCGTGTCCGGGGCTGAGGAGAGGCACCGGGAATAGCCTCTGCTCTTCCGGCGGCCGGGGCCCCACCCCAAAGCTCCACAGAGTCCCTGGCCCGGGCGCCGCTGGGTGCTGCTGCGCAGGCCCCTCCGCCGGGGCTGGGAAGCCGAGTCGAGTCCTGGTCTCGCTCGGTTCACATGACTGATTTCCAGCCGCTGTCGGACTCCGTCAGGGGCTGTGGGTGGGTTTGGGGGCTGGCGCCGGGAGGCCAGCCTTCGTTTCTCCCTGGTGCTTGGGCTGCGGGGGGTGGGCTTCTGCCCCTGAGAGCTGGTCCTCTGCGTTCCGGTGGACCAGGGAGTCCTTTACCACAGTGTCTGGGGGCCTAGTGCGGCCCCTCCCCTCGCCTCTGGGGGTTTCCCCAAGCCTTCCCCTTCCAAAGGGGTGTGGCCTTGAGCTCTGAGCCCTCACCCCTGCCCTGGCTGAGTTGGGGTGCAGGGAACCCCACTTCCCGGCATAGGAGCTGGTTGAGCGGAGCTGCAGGTGAGGGCAATTCTGTCCAAGGCTCCTGGGGGGAGGGTGGGCACCCAGCTCTGGGAGGAGTAGGGGGATCCGCCTGGCTGGGGGAGAGGGGCGACCCACCTCCCCCAGGCCTAGGCCAGCCCTGCCCTCCACTGTTGCCCCCACACCGGCCTCTCACCCCATCTCGCTGGGCTCTGCCAGGAGCCCTGGGGGTGTGGGGGTGCAGGACCTTCTGCCTCACACAGCAGGGACCTGTCCTGCCTGACCTGGGCCCAGCTCCCTGGGGGGCGCTCCGGGCTGTCTGCATTTCACTGCAGCTCGGACTCCCCACGGGGTGGGGAGTGAAGCTGACAGTCTGTGAGGCTGCTGGGGGGGGCCCCTCCCCAGGGCCCGGGTGCCCCGCCCTGACCTGGTGGCCTTCCAGGTGCCCCCTAAGCCCGCGCTCTGGGCGCTCCTGCTGGCGCTGCTGGGGCTGGCGTCCGCCCCCACACAGCCGCGCACCTGCAGCGTCCCCGACGTGCTGCGCCACTACCGGGCCGTCATCTTCGAGGACCTGCAGGCCGCCGTGCGGCAAGTGGGGCTGGGGGCCGAGGGGAGCGGGCCGGGCTCCAGGCGTCCCCACTTCATTCGGAAGAACCAGACCGGAGCCGCCGCGGCTGCCCGAGGGCGGGGTCGGCCGGGACCCTTCTGCAGTGCCCAGAAGGTAGGAGGGGACGCCCCACCCGCGCCCTGCAGCCTCCACGTTGAGCTCTGCACCCAGCCCGGTTCCTCCCCCCCCCCCCCGCCCCAGGAGCACAGTATTCTCGCGTCCATCGCCTCCCTGGGCCGGACCCTGCGCGGCGCCGCGGCTGGTGGCCACCGTGGGGCCCTGGAGAAGGCTGCCTGGACCGTGGCCCTGCGCACAGAGGCAGTGATGCGGCGCCACTGCCGGCCGCTGCACCAGGTGTGCCTCCGCCCCAGTGTGTGCGGGGCCGCAGCTGGGCCCTCCGCCCTCGGTGTCGGGGTCCACGCCGGGCCCACTGACCAGTCCGCGATGCCCTTCCCGAGGGGTGGGGGGCTGGGGCGGGCATGCTCGCTGACCAACCGTTCCCGACAGCGGAGCCGGCGGCCCCAAACGCGTCCGGAGCATCCGGAGCAGCGGCGTCGCGGCAGCCGGAGGCGGCTCCTCCTGCGAGCCCTGGACGCCGTCGCCACCTGCTGGGAGAAGCTCTTCGCGCTGCGCGCCTGGGCCCACGCGGGCTCCTAGCTGGCGCTGCGCCGCGCCTGGGAAGGAGCCTCGTGGCTTGGCGGCGGCCAAGGGCTCCCCCTGCCGACCACTGGGCCCCGCCTGTCCGGGGCTCGTTCTGGCCCAGGGTGGCTCGAGGAACCCAGACTTGGGAGACGCGAGCCCTTCCCAGGCCAGGCTGCCCTCCGCGCACGCGGCCTCAATAAACAGCTGGTGCTGCAGCCGGGTCTCGCTTCCTTTGCCCGCTGGCTCTCGGGGGCTGCCCGGGGCCCTTCTCTCGGTCGGTAGTGGACGCTGAGGGCACAACCTGCTGGCGAGCCTGGGGGCGTGGCTGCACTTCCCGCGACTCCTGGACCAGGGCGGCGCTGCCAGGCTCGGGCAGCAGGGGGCGCTTGGGAGGCTTGACTCCGGTCCAGTGGAGGCTTAGGGCCGGGACTCCTGCAGGGCCCCGGGCCGTGGCTTGTCCATCCTGCTCCCCTCTGGGGTGGGGGCAGGGGTGGAAATGGCGGGGGGGGGGGGCAGGGGGAAGGCCGAGCTTTGTGAATTCAGAGCAAAACAGCCGGATAAAGGAAACGGGCCTGAAGGGAAGCCAGAGCCGCTGGCCCTAGCTGCAAGCAGGCCAGACCATTTCCTGTGGCCCCGGTCCCGTCCGTGGGACTGGTGGGCTGGCCCCTGACCCTGCGTTTGCCTGGCAGAGTGGGGCAGCGACCCCGAGCTCCCCCACTTGTGGCTGCACAGGCCTGGGGTGGGGCCCCTCTGAGTCCAGCCTGTGGCCGTGTGGGAAAGGGGGGCAGGTAGAGCCCGGGGCTGAGCCTGGGGGACGCAGCACCTGGCATCGTGCTCCCCCCAGACAGGCGGCGCACCCAGAAGGCACCCAGGCAGGCCGGGCCCTGGGCGCTGGCAGAGTAGACGTGGGGTCCCGCTGCGGCGGCCGGCCTGACAGAACCAGGCCCCAAGAGTGGATGCCGGCCGGCCCCTGCCGTCCACGTGGTAGCCCCTGTCGGCTCTGCAGCTGCCGCTGTGGACCCTGCTTTCTGGACGAGGGAACTGAGGCCCCGGGGGGGTCTCAGGTCTTGCCCCGGGTTGCGTGCCAGGGAGTGTCAGAGCTGGGGCGGGACCCGGTGGTGAGCGTGGCTCTCCATGGGGCCCGTGGGCAGCGTGGGGGCCACACTCTGAGTGCACAGGTGATGCCAGGTGCCGGCACACAGCCCGCGTGTGCGCGTGGGCTGGGGAGGGGTTCCAGCCGGGGCAGGAGCGAGTGTGTGGAGGTGGGAGCCACGTGGCCCAAGGGTCCGCGCTGCAGAGGGCTGCTGGAGGCGCCCGGTGCGGGGTGCGGGCAGCTGTGTGGCGAGGCTCAAGGAGAGGCTGGGGTGCGAAGCGGCAGAGGGAGGCCCAGGCAGCCCCGGCATCCTGGCCCGGACACCTGGGCGTGTGCTCTTGAACAAGGGGGGCCCCGGCAGCGGAGAGCAGGTTTGTGATGGAAGGAGCTGGAAGTTCTGTCCATCACTGGGGCCTTGGGGTGGGGCTCGGTGTCCCGGGAGGGGAACACATCCCCTGTGGCTGGAGCCCCGGGGGGCAGGACAGCAGAGCTGGGGGCTGCGGGTCAGTGAGGGAGTCTAGGGGTCAGTGCGGGCACAGGAGGAGGGCAGGCCCTTCACAGAGGCCCCCACCCTGCCTGTTTCCCCCAGCACCTGTTCCCTGGCACGCAGACCTGTCCCAGCCCAGGGGCCCATGGGGGGATCAAGGCCTGGGGTGGTCCTGGCTGCTGCCCAGAGCTGTCAGGGTGTGCAGGTGGGGGAGGTGGGTCGGCAACAGACCATCCCTGCCTGCCCCCTCCCTGAAACCTTGCTCCTAAGTCGTTCTCAGCGCAACACCCCCACCCTCTTCCTGTCCTGCCCTTTCTCCTGGGGCCTCCGACATGCCAACCCCCGACCATGGGCCGGCCTCGTGAGTGCGGGGGCCCCACCCCCCACCTCAGACGCCATCTGTGTTCGTTCCTAGGGCTGCTGTCAGAAACAACCACAGAGTGGGTGGCTCGACGTGGTGGAGGGTTTATTTTCCTGCAGTTCCACTGGCCTGAAACCCAGGTGTCCGAGGGCCCTGCGACCCCGCGGCCTGCTGGAGGGGCACTTCTTGCGGCTCCAGTGGCCCGGGTCCTGCGCTGCGGCTGCGGCGCACCAGGCTCCGCCTCCTCTCGTGCCCTGGTCTCCACCACCGACTCACCGCGCCCTGAGCAACCCGGGGTCTCCTCACCTCAAGATCCTCTGCCGGGGTCCTTGTCCCACATAGGGCCCCCCTCGGGCTCTGGGAGTACCCTTTATCTTTTGGGGGGCAGAGTGGGCTTTGGCTTCTGGGACAAGGTTCCCTTGTGAAGGGGTGTCTCCCGTCCAGATCAGAGCCACACCCGCTGCTGAGGCAGACTGGGGGGCAGCGGGGGTGCCCTGCTCAGACCCCGCAGTGCCTGCCGCCCCTCTGGCTCTGCACGGGCCCTCTGAGGCTGGGTCCCGGTGGCGCACGAGCCCTCAGGAAACCTGCAGTGGCCGGAGCCGACCAGAACTGGCGGGGATCAGAGACGCAGCCTCGGGAAGGCCCGTGGGTGGCGGAGCCCCGGAGGGCAGAGCACCTGCGGCCTGACTTGGTGGGCGGGCCCTGCGTGGCCATGGACTCTGGCATCGGCCGGGCTGCTGGGCACCCCCTCCCCCCGCCGCTGTGGAGGCCCTGGGCATGGGGCCCGAGCCTGGTTCTTTGCGTGTGAACGGCTCCCCGGGCTCCCACGTGGTGGGGCCCCGGGCCGCACCAGCGGGGGGCGTCCTGCCCCGCTTGCCCGCCGTCCCAGCTGCTGGCAGGGCGGTGGGGCTGGGGCCCCGGGGAGGGCGGCGGCGCCGGGTGGCAGATGAGGCTGCAGGGCACTGGCTGGGCTTGTGCAACCTCCCCCGGCAGGGAGCTAGACCCCCCGTGTGCAGCGGGGTGGGGGAGGGGCCCGGCTGACTTTGAAGGGCTGCCGGTCCCACGGCCTCCCCAGACGGGAGCCTTTGAAAGAACATCTGGGACCCGGGCCTGGATTCGGGAAGCCAAAGCGCTAGTCCTGACTTTCCCACCGTGTGTTCCCCACGCCCGCCGCTGCCCCTTCCCAGGCTGCCAACCGGGGGCGAGGCGCACGCCCTGCCCTGGGGGCCGCCGCGGGGCTCCGGCAGCACCACCCTCCGCGGTCCCAACCCTGGTGGCCACCAAGCAGCCCAGCCACCTGAGCAGGTGGAGGAGGAGGGAGGGGGGGGCGGCCGGCCGGGCCCTGGGAGACGCAGCCCGGGGCCTGAGGGGCAGCGGGGCAGGACGTGAGTCAGCCGGCCCTGGGCTGGTGCTGCCTGCGGAGAGGGCCGGGCAGTGCCTGGGCTGGGGCCGTAGGAAACACCTGTGCGCAGAGCCAAAGGGGGCGCCGGCCCCACAGGCCAGCCGAGTGTGGGGCCGTCCTTGCAGGTGTTCGGGGAGGCCGGCTGCTGCAGCTGTGGCTGCCGGGAAGCAAGGCCCCCCTCCCGGAAGCAAAGCAAACACTGGGGCGGGGGCGGGCAGCGCCAGGTGCTGGAGCCCATTGTCCCTGCCAGTGGCCTGCAGGACCCTGGGGAGCACCAGGGCGCAGGCCCCTCCCCGGGAGAAGACCCGGCTCCGTAAACAGAAACAGACAGCCATCCCACCCGCCCCAGCGAATGCCTCCTAACCCCCACCCGGAACCGGCAGGGATCTGGCACCTGCCGGAGGGAGCGGTCCAGGTCTGGGGGCGGGCGGGCCGGCCGGCCGGGACAGGTGGGCCCAGGGCAGCGTGTGCTGGTGTTGGGGGCTGGCCCTGGCTGCCCCGTCTGTGTCTCCTGGGGGCCTCTGCTCACAGGGCGCCCCGCCAGGCGGTCTGGCCCTGTCCTGCGGCCCCGCGCGCCCCTGCCCGGCCTGCGCAGGGCACGAGGCCAGGGGTCCGGCTGCAGCCCCAGATAAGCCCCGCACCCGCGCTGCTTCCTGCGCTTCCTCCCAGGGCCGCCGCCGCCGCCGCCGCCGCCGCGCGCCCCTTCCTGTTTCCTTGAGCGGCCGGCGGGCGGGCGGGCGGGGGACCGGTGGCAGGGAGGGACCATGGGGGCAGCAGGGTCGTGGACAACAAGGCAGGGGTGCGGGAGCCCCTTCCGTGTGTTCCTGAGCAGCTGGGGGATTGTGGGAGCTGGAGGGGTAGGCAGAAAGCACAGAGGGGGAGCCCCAGGGCTGGGCCGGGAGCCCCCACACGTGGCCACGCCCCTACGTGGACTGATTGGCACCTGCTGCTTGGAGCCCCGCCCAGGCTGAGGCAGGAGTGGAGGTGGGTTGGGTGGAGGGTTGAGCCTTGGTTGGGGGGTGTTGGGATTAGGGGTCAGAGGTCCTGGACTCCCTTTTGGGGGCAGCTGCTTTAGCATGTGGACTTCGCCTCCTTGCTCAGGCTGGGTCGTCAGAGACAGGAGTCTCTGTAACCCTAACGCAAGCACCCGTCCGCCTGTCTGTGCAGTCGGCCGTTACCAGGCCTGAGAAAGGCCGTTCTGACGGATTCTCCAGCCTCGACAGCGGGGGCCTTGCTGGTCAAGCAGAGCCAGACGCCAGGCCCCGCCCACAGGCTGGTCCGGAGTGAGCGGAGCACGGAGGCAGCAGCCTCGAGGCCGGCCCGGGTTCTCGGGCTGGGGGTGGGCGGCCGTGGGACAACCCTGAGGCTGCCTGTCGGAGGGCGGTGACGCTGGGGCAGCCTGCGCATCGGGCACTTACCCCGGGGGCAGGCTGTGCTGCCCTCCAGCCAAGCGGCTGCCTGGGCCAGAGCCGGGCCGGGGGAACGGCGGCCCAGCGCGGCCTCTGCAGCTGGGCGCGTGAGCGCCACGCTGGTCTGGGCGTGTCCCTTGCTGTGGTGCCCCAGGGTCTCCCAAGGGGACGGTCGCGTCTAGGGGGAGAGGGCGCGACTCACCGCTCTCCGCCCCAGCTCCCCGTCCTCCCCCGGCTGCTTGCTGGGAAGGGTCCGGCACCTC